AAACTGAGATCCCTCTTGCACTCCTTTATCCCCAAGACAATCTTCTGAAAGGCATCCAAATGCATCTCAGTTACTTAAAAAATGGAACTTGATATATTTACAAAAAGAAGATTCTGACCAAATTTTCTTTGCTACCAGCATAGGAGAATCAATGAACCATGAGTATCTTTTAAAAACTCTCCAGGGAGTCCTGCTTCCCAGCAGACTGCAGAAGAATCTGTTTTGTATGTCGATATTTGAAACATTACAACAAACATCAGAAACAGAAAAAGATTTATTAGAAATATTACACAGATTTTTGCATCATACATTTTAATAATGTTAATCTTTAAATATTAGCATGTCCAAATCTGGCAATGCCTAGTATATACATTCTAATGTGCTCTTTGTATAAATTAGATTACCATGTAACATCTGTACCCAACAGAGAAAGCTAAAAGTACTTGACTGTTAGAGGTGATTATCCCATACGATAAACTCAAGCCTGGACCAACAATCAATAAAAACATTGTGTCCAGCACTGCCCAGTGGAACTTGGCACACGTGCAAGTCAAAAACGTAGAGATCATCAGCTGAGAAAAATGTTAATTGCAGTTCAGTTATAAGCTTGATTCTACACCATATTGGTGAGCGAGTCTAAATGGCACTGGAGTTGGTAAAAACCAATATTGTCTAGCATAGTCGAAGTTATTGCTGGGTTTAAAAATGTCTTAATGCTCAGTGCCCTGAGTCTTTTTAGGCAAAAGCCCTCTTCTGACAGGAAAATGCATAATCTCATCCCATACAGACTCTGCCTTTTATCAGATACACAAGGCACAGCTTTGCAAACAGCTGGCCCCGTCAGATACTTCCTGCTGGAAGACCCGGTACCATAAGCACAGAAAGATGAGGGAGGTACAAACAAACTGATGAGCCAATGCTCGTATTTTCATTGCCAAGAAAGCGAGAAAGTCAGTGAAGCAAAAAGGTAGAGTTTGAAAAGTCCCAGGTCAGGAATCAAACAGGGAAGAACCAACCATTCTGCCAGCGTGCACTTATTTGGTTTGGACAGAAAACTTGCACATAACTGGTTGCACATATAAAACAAGAAAAATCATAGAGAAAACCTGTAAAAAACAACTTCGAATTACAAAAAGAAAACCTGCCAAAACTCACTGAGAGGAAACAGGAGAACATGCATAAGTCAAAAATCACTCTGCTTAGTACGGCTGCCTTGCTGCAGCACAGGAAGAACCAGGAAATCTTTGTCCCCTTTGCACTTCCATGACTGTCACAGGCACAGGAAGGGAACCTGCAAAGGCAGCAAGCTCTGTGCTCTCTTCCCTCCTCATCTTCTGAGATCCACCCCAGGCTGCACTCTTAGGAGAAATGTCACTCAAGATAACAGTCAGTCAGGACTCTCAAGCTGATGCCCTTTGCTGTCCACAAAGGCCCAGGTACGTATGTCCCATATATGCCCCTCTTCGCACACGCTGGGCTTTCACTCCATTCAGTTTCACTGCATACTTTCAGAAACAGCTCATCAGCCTTTCTAGAAAACCTTCTTAGAGGGCTGACTCTGGGCTCGCTTCTCAACGCCTCTGTACCCTCCCAAGCCATGAAACAATTTGTACCTTCTATGACTCACCAGAAATTCTGGGAGTCAGACTGTATACTTTTCACACTTTAATCTCCTTTGCTCTCTAACAGCTATAGTACAACAGTCACACGATGCGATATCCCTCTGTGGAACTTCACTGAAATCCCCATCCTAACTATTCTTCTCACGTGCTCATCCAAAATCAGTTATTTGGTGTCTTCTAGTCTGACAGACTACCCAAGTACATACATACAAGCATGTGCAGGTGTGTTTAAGAGTGACAGTATATTTAGGGAGCATATGGTGACATGGCGAAGAGATTTCATCCGCCTGCATCAGGGAAAGATCCGTTACTCCTAAGAGGCAAAGTCAGAAATCATTTAGGCAGTTTAGGCAAACTGTTACTGATAATGCGTTACACCATCCATATTATATCATCACATATTCCATTCTAGGACATTTTCAGAGGATTCTTCTATGAAGAATCTAGAAGACTATCCCTGTACCCTCTAGCATAACTTAGTTAACAAACTCTCTAGTTTTAAAGGCAGCTAAAACTTTAATTTTGCAGTTGAAATTTGAGATGTCTTACAAGGGCCTGTAGATTTTCTGAAAATCAGGCTGGTCTGCAGCATCTTTTGTGGGACAAATTTAAATTCATATTCAAATTTTAAGGCAGCATGAAAAAACAAGAGTAATTTCTGAAAATCCAGGTCTAGAAATGTAACTACACAAGGTTCAAAAGGAAGAAAAAATACAGTTAAATGAACAAACAAACAATATTACTGATATAAAAAAATAATCTGGAAGAGCATCTCTCAATCTCAGAGTATCAGCATTTCAAAATGAGATGTTTTGCAGGTTTGAGGACTGGAAAGTAACATTAAGCAAATGGTGAAACTGAGTATCTTCTTCCCTACTGACAGACAGCTCCTTGTTCTAACTCCTAGATAAGTACAAGTTTTTTAAGAATTGAGTAGAATTAGTGTTTGGTCTACGCTACTGCAGGGCATGGGAGAATAAGCTGCAGAAAGATGACAGAAACATTGCTTCGCAAAAATCATTTGGAAAAAAAAAGCTGCTAGATCAAACAGAATGGTTTGTAAGGTTAGAATAAGTCTTGGAGAAACAGATTGGAATAAACATCACTACAACACTTGAAACAAACAATACTGACACATTAGGTAATATACGTATATAGTGTATGTCTGACACTCACATGGAACACATGCTTGCAGTGACCAGAGGGTTAAGATTATCGTTCTTTTTTAGATCAAGTGGAGCCCTCTGACTTTGAAATGTTTACCAGACGCTGGGAATTAAAACAGTTTTTCTCATCCCTGCGAGTGCCTGATCCAAAGCCCACTGAGGAATATGGAATTTTCTGTGTTGACTTCACTATGCTTTAAACTACAGCCCGTTGGAGAGAATTGGGATCTCTGCCAATGGATACCTCAAGGGAAAAGAGCCTGCTGCATCCACAAGGCAATGGAGCTCTGCAGTGTGACTGCCTTCCTAAATGAACTCTCCTTAGCAGCTATTTTTCTCTTCCAACTTATCACATAACCGGAGACTCATATCTAAGAACACTTACAGCAGCTCATCCTATGTTCTCTAGGGATGGCAGAGTGTATGCTGAAAAATACTGGAGAGTTAATTCAATCTAGAAAGCACTCTCTTGCAAAGAAATAACTCTGGTCAGCATTTACAATTGCTTTCTCACAGTATAGGATGACACAGAGTGCAAGGGCACCGTAAGTGTGTGCCACTGTCCTTTTTTATCACACAGACTCTCAAAAGATTGGAATCAGATTTTCCTTGGGGCGATGAATTAGAATAAGTGTCAGACTAAAACTAAGAGCAAGTGATGCTTTTCTCCTCCTGCAAAATAGGTATACACTGCATTGCTCCAACTTCCTTTCTGTTCAATACACTCACTGACCTTGGTCACTGTCACCTATCCCTTAATCCCTTATTTTGCTGTGAGAAAACCAAAGTCTGAAATAGGTTGTTTACTAATTAAATAGTATTAAAAAAACAAACAACAAAGCACTGTGGGGAAGCCAGAGGCTGAGATCAGCTACCTGCAAAGCCCCAGAAAACCTGAAACCAAGTTTCTTCTGTGAAATCGCTTGTTTCTATTTCATGAGTTAAGAGCAGTGAGCACGCACTATTATTTTTTGTAAGAGAGAAATGATCCCTAGCTCCCTATGATTAACATTCACAAAGCATCAAGTCTGGTCACAGGGTTAAACATGCTAACTAAACAACAACTTTCTTCTACCAGCATATTCTAAAGCAGCTAGGCAGCCTTCTATAAGGTCCTGTACAAAGCATGCTCTCCAAGACCTGGTCCTAGAAAAAATTAAGCAGCCTGTTTGATCCTGCTATCCTTGGAGACAAACAGAAAATTTAACTTCATGAGGTGAAATAAGAGGAATGATATAATGGAAATTTAACAGTATGTTTCAGACATTTTACTAATTTACTAGTATTATTGAGCTGGAAAGCTATTCTCTGGCGCCTCAGAGATTTCCATGACACAGGGAGGGGTTCCAGTTACATTCTTTGTAACTTGTGAAGTTGCAACTTCCATTGGTACTAATATATTACTGTGTTCCTTTATAGGGTAACATCATTTCCAAGCATGTAACATGGACTACATTTTATCGGACAGGGCACAGGCTATCTCAAGATTCGTGCCTCTACGCAGCAACTACATACCTGTGCTGATTATACAGGATCAACACAGAAGAAGTTACTTAATCCACAAAAATATGAACTACTGAGGTGTCACTGTATTGCTTAGAGAGTCACCACCTGATTACTGGCACCTTGCAAACTAAAGCTAGTAATTTGTATTTGCAATATTCCTATGATAACTGTGCCTGCACAGTCAGCTGGGAAACCGAGCTCCAGCTTCCCGTAGTAATCAAGTAACGAAGTTGTAGTAATAAAGCTATTTTTCCTCAAAGAGATTACTTCTGTCTGATCTGAAATTAAGTCCCAGAACCTAACAGGATCTTTAGAGTTCTTTCACTAACTGATGATGGGACAGAGCGTGGTTTCTGAGTTACAAATGATCCTGTTATTATCCTGCTGGTTTGCTGACAAGCAAACTGGTATACTTACTGGGTCAGATGTGCAAGAATAACTCAGGTTAAGGTTCTACACACCTATGTGCATCTGTCATGATGTTTTATAAAATATATGGAGGCAAGAAAACAACATGTATTTGGGATGAGTTAAGCATGTTTTGGCAAGAGCAGCATTTTTTGTGAGCTTTTGTATTAATATTAATCTCCCAGCCTCCCTTGAGTGCCAGCATAGTCCACATTGATTTAGAACTTCATTTTGTAGCAGGTCTCCTGTTGGTGGAGTCTGGTTTGAGGCAAACATTGTTTAGCACAAGGGATCCTCTTCAAAAATATCCCATGAGTGTTCGAAAATGTTTTGTAATTTCCATGTGAGAATAAAATTACAGATTAATTTGGTTTGTATAGATGAACAATGGATATTTATTTGGTTGCAGTCCCAGATGTAATCAAAATTATGGAAGAGCTTTTTTCCAAACTAAGAGCTTAGATTGGTTGTGGAAGAGGAGCAAGTGGATTTTTAAAGTGATCGAGTGCATCTGTAGCATTCTTTGTTCTCTTCCCCACTTCTGTCCACCTCTTGCTCTGCATTTCAGGTCTCAAAGTACTTGTAAATCTGGGCGACATACTGCATCACACTCTGCCAGTCTGGCCGGTCTGTGTACATCATCTCACTGAGTTCCTGCATAGGACAGACACATTGTCAAAATTTAGTCAAGCACCACCACTGGGAACATCACTGGGTCCTCCGAGTAGCTGTGGCTATTGGACACTACTTCTGCTTCCACTCCAGAGCTCCTTAAAGCCACATACAGTATAAAAGTCCATGGGAATGATCTACTGGCCTAGTGCAATTCTGAAACTCGTTAACAAACTAGTTAAACAGCCATATGCATTTTACATTCTGAAAATATTTCTTCCATCTGCAATCAAAGATGAATTCTCTATATAACCTCATTTAAATTGCTGGTTCTTTGCATGTCTTTGGTTCTGTTTTTAGCTCATGAACCCCATAATATTTTTTCCTTCATATTAAACTTATCTCTTCTTTGTCATCATATTACTGATTTTAGAAAAGACTTTTAAAACAGTTTAACAAAGAAATTATCCTTCTGTTTCTTAAAACACTAAAACAAAAGGAAAGAAAATAGTCTAACAGGCAAGTCTACCCATGAAAATAGGAATCATCTGGAATCAGCTTCCAAGAAGAGGACATAATCAATACTCTCATTTCAATGCTAGATGACCTCCAGAAGTTCCTTCAAATTATATTAATTCTGTGATTCCCCAAATTTTTTCTGGAGGTTCTCCTAACACTACGAACTTTCAGAGATGGTGGTGCAGCCTTCCCTAACACTATGTGAACATTTTCAGTGCAAGCAGACTGACTGGCCACATGGCAACAAAGGCTTTGGAACAGTGTATGCAGCAAACCTTCCCTTGCTAAAAGGTTACTCACCAGGCTGGGTTTGATGCCTACACTTTCAGCAGCTTGAAATGCTAACAGCAGATTCCTCTTCTGTAAAAATAAAACAAAAGTTCAAAAGGATTATCATCAAAGTATGACTCCTGAACCCTACCTTGCATCTGGTTAATCAGTAAGTTTAAATGAACAGGTTATTTTTGAAAACTGAGAAACACTAGATTCAATACTTTCAGACAGACACTTTTTTGTATTAGTAAGGTATAGTCACAAACAAGTTCTTTGTCTTTGAATAGCTCATCTACTTTTGCCCAAGCTACAGCCCTTTGTTTTTAACAAATAGGTTCTTGTGAAACTGATTACAACTGGGCAAAAAACCCCACTGAGGTTCTGCCTTTATTATGCGTGAAAGGTTTCTGAAGAGGTGTTAACTAATATAAGGAAGTTCTTATTGTAATAGATACTAGCTGTCTGAAGTAAATCCAGTAAATGCAGGTTCCTTCCCTTTGTGAGGGTCTTAACATACTTGGAATGTGGTGACATGGTCCGACTTTTAGATACGTTGCTGTCCAAGTAGTTCAATGAATGATCTGTCTGCCTACTGACCCAGCGCTGTTAATGTGTGCTGTTAACTCAGGAGTCCAGAAATGCTTTAGCCTTTCAAAAGGGATGTTGCTTTCATGTTTATCCGCAGCACTCACTGGATTCAGTCAACTTGTCACTAACTCTTTATCCACTAGTCCCTGCATTTCTCTCTAGGAGCTCACCGTTGGTTTCCTTCCCCTTTTCATTCAGCCTGTTTGCTTTGTAAGTTCTCAACTGATACTTGTCTCTTGCGGTTGCTACCATCTACTTATTTTGTACCAATCAAGATCAAGATCTTGCAACACTGTGTCTCCACCACATATCCATCAAAATGGATAATGTTCACCCTGAATTCTGGAAATAGGATAGGAGCAGGTACAACAAAACTTACTTTATCCTGGCTGTTGAGCTCCTGGTAAGGAATATGTGCAGGCAAATATGTGTGCAGGAGAGCACAGAAGGCCAGCCCATCACTCCAGCTGCTGCTGAAGTTGGTAATATCAATATTCTGTAAGAGAAAACATGAACCATCCCTGAATAGTGCTACACAATAAAAAAATCTCCAAACAATAGTTTTTATGCAGTCATGAAACAAAACCTCAGAGTATTAAAGGAACATAGGTTTACATTTTCCATTCTCCCCTTCTTTTTCATGTCAAGTAGAAAGATAGCAAGTAGGGTGGCAAGTTTCAAAGTCCTAGACCAGGGATTATTAGGGACTTAAATGTTTTTCACACCAGGCCCCAAACAGAGAGACTCTCTCCAATGCTTTTTAGAAGGTGAGAAATACCATGTGCAGCACATGCTGCACCCGCAATTTTCCTGTGCTGGCAAGAGGAAGAACTTTATTTGGTCCTTTTCAGTTACAGAATGGCAGAAATATGATTTCTCCAGCACCTACAACAGAAGTCACTGATATTTTAAAATGGTTTTGTAATTGATGTCATGCTTCCTTGTCTCAGGATGTGTAACAGAGGGATGGATTTGTAGAACGATGAGGCAGTGTAATCAGTGTATTTGACCACTGTTATCTTTCTGATATTACACAGCACACACATGCTTTAAGGAGAATGTGTAATTAACAATTATGACTTGATTCAGCCCCTTATCAAAAGTGATATCAAACTGATGAAGTACTAACAGTAGTATTGTTAGTCATAGTATATATATACTGTTATATACTGTTAGTTATAGTAATACTAACTAATAATCCTTAAGCCCTAAATAAAGAATGTGCTTACTTCTATGTGAGAGGGAGGCTCAAACTTGGCCACAGCAATGGCTGAATGGGCAGCTTTCCAAGAGCTGGGCAGATGTGCCCAGTTTGCAATCATTTGCACAAATGCATGTCTGCATTCTTGTATTCTTTATCAACGCAGCATCTTTCATCTGCACATCACAGAGCACTTAACAAAAGGCAGATAAAGAATGGGAAGTCTGAGATATAGAATCTAATCATTTACCCTAATTCACAAAATGAGCCAGAAGTAGTTGAGGAGAGAACAGAGGTTTCCTGATGCTCACACTCCTACTACCATAGTCACTGACAAATTAATGTGGCTGCATCACTGGTAACAAGTACAATACAAGATCCTTTCGGAACAGAAACAAAAGAAATCTTTAAATCTTGTCTTCACGCATTTCCTAGCATGGCAACAAGGATGAGTTTTTTCGAGGAAGCAATGTTTCAGGGGGCATGGATACATTAATAAACACCCAACTGAAACCCCAGAGCTGAGCTAGAAAAATCTCTCACTTGTCTGTAGCAAAACTCCCACCACTGCCAACTCCAACAGGAAGGCAGTGAAAAGGAAACATTTTGAAAGAAATAGTCTAATATGGCTGCAAGTTTAAGTGGTCAAAAAACATCTTCCTTCCCCTTTTTGCTAGACAGTGGGATTCTTCTTTGCTAGTCACATAACTTATTACAAGGGTGCACTCAGGTGCACAGAGGAAACCCAGTTTCACTACTCATGACAACTGAAGTCCAGAACATGCTACGTTCAACAGGTGGATTAGAGTGATTACAGAAACAGAAAATGATATTTTAAAATCAGCCCATCTATAAAGAACTCCTTTAAAATACAAAGATTACTGGGAGTATAGGGTGCACTCAAGGTTTTTCACAGGGATTCTCATGAGGCACAGCTGTAGTTAAACATACACTTGAGGCCCAGTTCTGATCCTGTGAACAAGGTGACCTTTCTAATGTTCTTGTTTGCACTGACTAGCCATACCCGCACACTAAGGAATTCTCATGGCTAAGTTTTGCTGCTGTAGTAGCAGCTGTAGTTCCAAATACCAGCTAAAAACAAAACAGTGAACTAAGTGATATTGCTTAGAAAAGTAACAGCTGCTGGAGCATGGAAGGCTCCAGGACATGATGGTACTGCACCATCTCTCACACTACAGCAGGTGCGGAGTTGCCCTCAAATCATTCTTGCCAACCACGTCTTCCTATGTACTGAACTTCAACTCGGACTCTCTGCCACTTTGTTTTCTTTATTTAGCTATTTTCTGGTTTCTTTCAAGATTTCCCAGAAGACAAAGCTTTTACTGCATCTCTCATACAAAAGCTAATGCAGATGCACTAAAACGCAGACAGGAAGTATTTTAGCATATGCTCTTCACTTACGATGCCTCACCGATTAGTTGTCCAACCTGGACTTTGTCCAGTCAGACAGGATTTCAGATTAGTAATAAATGTCCATAACCAAACATGACTCAAATTGAAGCAGTACAGAATATTTCAGGTTAAAATACTCTGGCTGTAATAAATCTACAAATCTAATGGGCTCAGAAAGCAGGCCATCGGCAGCAGACATTACCGCACTGCACCAGCCACCACATTATATTTTGCTCTATTAACATCTGTCAATGGAGATAAAAGAAAAGCGACGTAGCAGCTGGGTACCATCACAAGAAAAAAAAATATTTTGCTCTGAAAGCTGTCTTAGCTTTGTCTAATTCATAAAGTCACACCATGGAAGTCCAACTTTGTGTTATGGAATTGGCTGAAGCTGGATTACTCTGCTTTTTTGACGTTTCAGACAAACAAGTTACTTACTATTTATCAACCTGCAGTTAGTGGGAAAGGACTGACTGCCAAACTACAGAAGTGTTTTTACTGAGGCCAATATATTTTACCAGCAAATAGCCTACCATCAAATGCCAATATTCTCATTTTATATCGTATGATAGAAATGGAAAATGGAGGTCATGTGTCCCCCCTCTGCCAAAGGCCATGGAAACAGGAAGAAACAAAACCTTAGTTAAGCAACAGGACTAGACAAAAAGGCAAGCCATATTTGTGTGGGAACATTATACCCTATCCTCGTTTTCATGATGCTATTATGAGAGACACGAGATACAAAACTGTTCCTTCCTACAGTATTTCACCAGCCCATCATCAGTTTGATAACTTTACTTGTCTTTGTAGTTTTAACTGTACCTAAAACTCTTCTCCTCCTCCCATCTAACAATATCTAGAGATAAGAAGTGCTAATGTCTACAATAAAATCAGAACTAGGTCCAAAAATCTTCACATCTCCAACAGCATTGTCCAGCCAGTCATCTTCAGTAATTCTTGGATCCAAGTCTTATAAACAAGCAAAAGTTCAAGGATGGGGTTCTGCTGACAATATTTAAACCACAGATGAAATCTACTGCAAAGTGGTATGTCATGATCAACAGAGAAAATGAACTTAAATCTGAATTTTTGTCCTAAATGCAAACCCAAAATGAATGTTTGAGGGTTCAGCTTAACTGTTCAGTTAATAGTACAACAACAAACACTAAGACATACTCAGAACCACTTAGCTGCCATTTTCACATCCAACAAGCATCAGTGAATTGTGGTTTTTTCCTCTAAACAAATGGATTTCCATTTCATACATGGTATAAACCCCTCTCTGGCATTTCATCTTGGATTCTGTGTTAACTACTTTTCAGTTTGGGATATAAGGACATGATAAATGAAAAGTGACCTTCTGTGTTTTGCTACACTGCAGCTTTACTTGTAATACCTCCCCACTACACCACACCAAGAGGAATTAAGTCAAAATAGAGGCACTCTGATTTCTTGGAAGATTTCTGGCTCCGCTGAAGCCAGAAAAAAAAAAAAAAAAAAAAAAAAGGAAAACAATTTAGGGAATGAACACCTTGGAAACTATTCACTTCTCTTGAGTATTTTGGCAGAGGAACCTGTCTCAGTCTTTCTGCCACACCTCTCTATTCCTCAACACACAGTCCATGAATATGTGAGAGCTATTTGTGTACATGCTGGTTGTTAATGTACACTTCCAAACTGCAGGATGGAGAGTTTGGTGATTTCTCTGTCTCCCAGTGTGCTTACAGCAGAACCCCCACCCCAAGCTCCGAAAAACTGCATGTGGCTTCTCATGAGAGACCTAGAAGTTAACCTATATAGGATGGCATCTTTTAGGAGGAAGATGCACCATCAGGGTGTATGCAGAATGAATGTAGGGAGAAATATGAAAATGGAATAGGGACTGCAGATCAAACTGAGTTGTAGTGCTCATTAGGCAGGGTGAAAAATTTGCCATTTTATGGTCACAGTATGTCTCATGGTCACTAGTACTCCAATGTCTATCTTTAGCATACCATCAGTGAATCCACACTGCTAAAGACATCTGTACCAGAGACTATGGGTCAAGGGGTGTCGAGTAGCTTAGGCCTGCAGCGCTCGGCGTTACTAGCTTCCTTTGGAGCAGACATATCATATCCACATTACGCAGCACTTGACCTGGGTCTTCCATGGTGCTGCTAAGAAAATAATTGGGGAGGTGGGGGTGGTGTAGTTGAAAATCTTGAAAGAACATGAAAGTCAGGCCAGAAGAGGGGTGTTTTTATAGCATGATGACAAAACCATCTTTACATACCCTGTGTGGAGTGGCAAAAAGGAGCATGGAAAGATGTGAGGGTACCAAGTTTGCTGGGATAGTGGGCAGAGGACTGTGTGGAGCACAGAGGTGTCCAGACTAAACTATTTCCAGGGTAGTTCTCAGGCTTCTTGTCAGTGAAAACAGTTCATTCACTTCAAATGAAAACTCATGAGTGAGCTACTATACATGCACTAGGAATATTAAGAGACTGAGATCTGGAAGCACACCAGGGAGCACAGTTATCTGAAAATACCAAAGTACCCAGTATGATTCATTTCTATGAATATTAAAGTACCTGATATTAAACAAAGTAAAAAAACCATAAAAATCCAGGCAATGTTATTTAGAGAGCAAATGTATTATCTATGATATTAGTGGCAGGCCAAGTCTAAAAGACACTAAACACCTGCAAGTCATTAACCTTAGCCTCCCACCCCAGGAACAGGACCTTTGCTTGCAGATAACAAAGCACTATGAGAGCCACGGTAAAGACACACAGGGAAATCTGTGTGATCTGTTCTCATTAAAAACAATTTCTTGTTTATCTGAGGCAAAAACAACCACCCCATTAGATTTCACTAGATCTTTGACTCCAAGTCCTCAG